TATATTGAAAACTGAAGTTTCCCACTGATTGTGACAAAAATAAGAACAAAAAACATACAAAAACAAATGAACTCTGACTACCTCACTTTCAATGAAAAAAACAAAACAAAAAACAAATATTTAGCAATCAGATTTAGAATCTTAACTTAAAATCTAATCTTAAATTAACTTCGGCTAATTTCGGTTGCTAATGTACTGAATTTCGTTTCAGTTTCAGTTTCAGCTCTATGCGACAACCGGCCTTAAATAGCTACAAATAAATCTTCGACGTAAACGTTTACATTTTGAGTATCAGCATTTAGTTTGTAGAAGGATAAAAAATATTAAAAATATTACATCAAACCGTGTCAACAAATGAAATTCTTGTTTGTCATCTGAAATGAAAAGACTTCTAATGTAGTGTGGAAAACGAAAATGGTTTTAAGACTCTGAATCAACAATATACTTTACGTGGATTCGATTTCGAGCATGTTTTAAACGTTTAAATAGTTCACAGCAAATCAAAGGACGGTGAAAAAATTGTATTACGTATTATTAATGACAAATATTTATTAAAAATTCGTAGTTGGGTCTATTATTTCAATTTTGTCATAATCAGAATGAAAAAAAAAAAACGAAATTGTAAGCTAGTTAAAAATATATAAATGGGCATTTAGTAAAGACCAAACTCATGACTAAATGCATTTTAAATTAAATTATGCATTCAAATCCAGACAAAAATATTAGTAAATTCGAAAGCAAACACACAAGAATGATGAATGAAAGAATTGTGGTTTTTGAACTTACCTTTAGACATGTAAATAAATAAATCTAATATCTGTATGACTTAAAAATGACTCAAGAGATCTATACCGTGAAATAGTTAAAAGAAAAAATTCCGATCTTTATACTATACACTAGTACATTATAAAATATGTTGACTGTGCCTTCAGTGTTTTATGGGAACGTTATTCATTTTCAAAATATAACAGTTATATACTATGTGAATCATGAATGTAAATTGCTCTCAGAAAGAGTTCTATCACAACACAAACACACAATAACTAGCACGGTCATTCTGTTTGTACAACACACTCCAAATAAATACAGCACTTAACTGGTGTGCTTTCTATGCAGACTCATTTAAGCTTTTTTTGGAATTTTAACATTTTACCGTAAGAAATTTTAAATTTGCATTACGACTAACCGACAAATTTATACACGCTCTTCAACTTGCTTTATAAAAGACACTCTTTGAACAAAAAAAAA